TACATACCCCACTGAGAACACAAAAATACCGCAACCGTTTCTTTCAGATGTGACGTCATAAAATATAAGAATTTACGAGTTATATCTCTTCCAGACTCATATACAACGAGCCCTAACAAGATAAGCCGCAATAGGCATTCAAAACCAGTAGCATTTGCGTGCTAACCAAACAAAGAGACAATAAATATACCTTTATCGCTGTTCAAATTGATGGCCTGAACTTCGCAAGAGCTTTAATATTTCAGTATATTAAGATATTTTCATGTTCATTTACAAAGTCATAATTTATTCACGCCATGTGTATAATAAACAATAATACAACATTGCATACGACATCTTATCTCGTAACATAACTATTTAAATTTTATTTCTGTTAAAAAAATATCTAACAGGTAAATTTTAGTAATTATGATTTGTACTGTTTTTACTCAACTCCTAATTTTAAATTTGTTCTTAAGTCTTAGCTTTATTTTTTTGTATTATTGACTGCTGTGTAATATAATAAATGTTAGTAAACTTATAAATAAATAACACAAGCCGGATTCGAACCCACGATAACAGGGCTCTTAATTTCATTATTAATGTCATGTAGTCATTTGTATGCGCCAATTGAGCAAAAAAAAAGGAACAATGTTTCGCATAAATTGTGTAAGGCTTTCATGGCCGACGTCCAGCACATCATTGTTTTTTGGGCTGTTCGACGGACGTGAGCACTCGAGCTAACATTTCCGGGTGATGCCGTCTGCCCGTGATGGCGAAACGTCGAGAACTCTATCATACCTATAATTCACATTGGAAATGATAGTATCGATATGGTGTTGATTCTAATTATGTAAATAAAATCTGCTGAACATTGTGTGATATTTAATCTAAGTTTTAAGTGCACATAACCAATTTAAACTAAAAAACACATAGACATACTAATTTAATAAAATAAAACTTCAAACAATATATGGGCAAACAGAAGCGAGTTAAAAATCTCTAGTTTCCGGTAAACTTTCCAGCCTTCACCGCGAACATTTCCATGACAGTTGAAACAGGTAATGACCGCTCCAGTTTCTGTAACGGCCCATTCTGGTGTAATTACAAAATGATACCACTGCGTTACGCTGTCATTTGCTTCATTCTAAACCGCTAGTGAGGCATTACTTTTGATGACAGTATTACGTCGAAGCTAACTTAAATTAGGCTTTAAATGAAACACTTTAACTGTTTAAAAAGCGAAATATATTCGTTAAACTTATTTACAAAACCAACGACGTGTACCAGTTTTTAGTTTAACATTAGAGACGCCCTCTCTCTTCAGTTTTCTCGTGACCACGGCTGCTGCAGAGCATCCGAAATGTCGAGCTGTAGTTAAAATAATTTGTAAATAAGTTTAACTAATATTTTTCGGGTTTTAAACTGTTAAAATGTTTTATTTAAATGTGTACTACAGAGGCGAGAGCCGATCAGAACCACTGAACCATTCGTTACTACTCGCTACTAAATACTGTCTGTAGTTTACGTGAGTAGTACATATTTAAATTAAACACTTTAACAGTTTAAAACGCGATTTATATTAGTTAAACGTAGTACGTAGTCACGGGGAGACTCCACGTTTTAATTAATTACTCGTTACTAACAAATACTCGTTACATTTCTGGTTTTCTAATCAAAACAAAAGATATCCGCGTTACGTCTTATATGTACAGCTTCTTAAATAAACGCTTGGGGTCTTCAGACATAAATACAATAGTCATCTCCAACAAAAAGCGCTTCAAACCTCATTACCAGCTAGTTAATATTATGTACCGGAAAACTGTCTCGTTAAGGTCTCGTACATACCTACCTAACAAGACGGGTTCATATTAGCGCCTCCGAGTACAAAGGATCCCCGCGGGCGTTACCTTCCCCTGTCATTAGTAAGTTTTAATAATGAGAAGCATTGTTTCAGTGACAAATTGTATTTGAAGGATACGGTACGTCAAATTAGGTACGATGTGGGTTACGTTACGTTGTTAACGTAATTCTTTTGTTTTAAGCAATAATTTGGTATTGTGAACGTATAAAGAAGAAGACAATTTTATAATAATAATAATTAAGTCAACTGATATTCCTTTAAATAAAACATTTTAACGGTTTAATACGCGATGTATTACAAACTTCTTAACAGAATATTTTTAAATACCGCCCGACGTTTCGGATCCTTTGCATCAGCCGTGTACAGCTTTGTAGCACGGGTAAAATATTTAATTTAGTATGTAGTCGAATCTCCAGATGATATTATACTATTTAAATAAAACACTTTAACGCTTCAAACGCGATATATTAGTTAAACTTATTTGAAAATGATTTTTAACTTCGGCCCGACGTTTCGGATGCTTTGCAGCAGCCGAGGTCACGGGGAGACTAAAGATGGAGGATGTCTCTGACGTCAAAGTAAAAAATTGCTACGCTAGCGCCATCTGTTCTGTCGAAGTTGGTACTTGACGAAACTGGCCGGGTCCTTACAGAATTGACTAACGGTGTCTTCGCGTTTGTCGGTATGCTGTTTATTGGGATCCAGAGTTTTTAATATGGGATTGAAATTTCGGTGTTTTTTGATTTCAATTGTTTTGCGTACCAATCTTGGATCTCGATTAAATCGATTCTCTTTTGCGAGGATTTTTTGGCTGGTCAAAGCGAATGTAGTGAGTGGGCCCTTCCGATAAGTGTTGGCATACAGCAGATTTGGAGAGACGTTTATGTTTTATATCCGCGACGTGTTAAAAATAATTTTCAAATAAGTTTAACTAATATATCGCGTTTTAAACCGTTAAAGTGTTTTATTTAAATTTGTACTACTCGCGTAAACTATAGACAGTATTTGATATTCTACTACTTATCAATAAGTTAATTGAACATTAAGCTACAAATGATTAAAAAGACTTTCGAATTTAAATTATGAATTATTATCATTGCTATTATTATTTGCCATGTGAAAAATAATTATATAAAGTAAAAAAAGTAAAAAAAGTGCTTGTTATTTTAATATCAAAATTTAATATCCATTCTCATCCAGTGTCGTAAATTTTTTTCAATGAAAATACAAAAGTTTTCAAACAAAATTGAATTCTTATTCAAATCCATTTATTCTATGCTTTTCCAGAATTATTTTAAATTAACTTTATGTGAAAACAACCGATCCCCTTCTATTATATCAATAATTTGAGAAGAAAAACCTTGATAGACAGTAACTAGTGACGTAACAGCACAGTGCAAGGTAAACACAGAGCTTTCTAAGTGACAACGACGAGGGCTACGATGTCCAAAGGGGTTCCTGTCGCGAGGGGTGATTCATCAATTGTAAAGTGGTACTTCATATTCAGTCCGTTAGACTGTCGCTTTGACGCCCTTAAATGAACACAGATTAGGCGATCTTTTATTTTCTTTTATTGTTGAGTTTTAAAGGCTAGTTAATATATATAATAATAATAAGGTTATTTAATAGTTTATTACTATTTATTATAATGAATTAAACAGTTTTCAAAATGTATATATTTTTAAGTTGAAGGCTGTTAGCTATAAAAACTAATAACTATATAAAAATGTACTCATAATATGAATTCATGAGTTATTTCATTACATTTGTCGTAGCAAAACTTTTATTTAAATTAATTTGTTATATTTTAAAAGATAATAATAAACTGTGATTAGGTTATCAATTTTGGTCGTGGTGATTTATTATTTGAGACTGTACCATTAAATAAAACATTAACACAAATGTTGTACCTACTCTGTTTAAATAAATCACCATTTAACTAAACAGTTAAATGGTGATTTAAACAAAACGCGAAATCTATTAATACATTTTTATAAAATAAGTAATGCACTTCGCGTTATCAACCGTTAAAACGTAATTAATTATTAAAACAGTAAATTACTTTTTAATAAAAAATATTGCTCGTTTTAGCAACATCCGATATCCCCAGTACTTCAAGTAACGATTCTGTTAAAACATTCTAGAATTTTCATTACAAACTGAAAATGGAATTGGAAATTTCATCGATACGAGGAACCGTTTGAGAAAATGCTAGTACCAAAAGCGTTCGAGCGAATTGCACTTCTTTTCTCTCCGGAAAAGCAAATAGAGTTAGTTGGATAATTTGACGCACTCACCCCCACGGGAATCGAACTAACATTGGGGACTGCACACCATTTGCTCAGTGCATTTCGATGTGTACCTTGCCAAAAACGGTTATTGCATTTTGAACTCTTTGCAGTTGCGTTAAAGCCAGTTTTACGAGTGATAGTAAAAACACTTTTATAAATTACAATAATGTGATTTTTTGTTCGAATGCATTTGAAATATTGATGAACTTAATGCATTTATGAGATAACACGAATTTTAAATTTCAAATAAAATGTACGAACATTTTAAAGAACGGGACGTTTTTAGCTGAATGTATTGTAAAGTGAAATTAAATTTACTTAATATTACTGAGACTTAAATACTGTCTATAGCTTACGCGAGTAGTACACATTTAAATAAAACACTTTAACGGTTTAAAACGCGATATATTAGTTAAACTTATTTGAAACGGATTTTTAACTTCTCCCAGCAACAGTCTCCCCGTGACCACGGCTGCTGCAAAGCATCCGAAATGTCGGGCCAAGTTAAAAATCAATTTCAAATAAGTTTAACTAATATATCGCGTTTTAAACCGTTAAAGTGTTTTATTTAAATTACTGAGACTTACTTAGGTTCGACTGCTAAACATTGTTTTATTAGTTAAAATATTTATAAGACGAATATATGTTTTTATGGCATGAAGTTCACTCGTTGTAAAGTGAAAGCCAGCTATAAAAAATCTAAACAAGATGTGCTGTCGACCTATTTTGGCTTTGGATATTCAGAAGTCCACAGGCTGAAATCGAAAAATGAAACCTTACGGCTTTTTCATCCGTGGACGGTGGTTCCTTAACCGGATGGAGTTTAGATAAAAGTGCCACCCATTTATTTCCTCCCTTGTTCCCAGGCCTGGATGCAGAATTGTACTACGTGAGAGAAGGAGTAGTGAATAACTATGCTACGGGGTTCGTTGTGCCTGTACCAGCTCATATAGCAGACTTAGAATTCATGTGGCAAGCTTTGGGAAGAAGACCGGTAAGTTATTCTGTAGTTTACGCGAGTTTAAATAATATATTTTAATAGAGATTATGCCTCATAGCAAATTCAAATGCCGAAACAGGTGGCGCTAGCGTAGCGCATTTGACTTTGACATTAAAAACGTCCGCCATCTTTAATTCCCCGTGGCTACAATTGCTACAAAGCACGTCACGTTGGGCCGTAGTTAAAATAAATCGTGTATAAGTTAACATATTTCGCTTCCAAATTATAGGATATAATTCACTGTTTGCGAAGGAGCACATGGGGCACAACACAATTTATGTATGTGTCACTGATCGAATTTATTCAATGACAACTAGTTGATCAGACTTTTCCGGCTCTAGCTATACCATATTTTATAATTCCATGAAATCTCGTAACTAAATGCAAAACTATATGTTTAACTACTGAGCTACGCTATCGTGAAGTGAAATAATGGAACTTGTTATAAGCATTTTTATTCTATTCTCTACAAACGTACATATTAGATTAAGTAATGAGTAAAACTTAATTACTGAAGCGTCAGGAACACCCATATAAATCGTGCACAATCGCGGAAAAACAGTTTCAATACACACTTTTAATTGTCCGCGTTGTTCCCGCGCTTTTCAATTTAGCTTTCGAGAGATTTAATTTTCGTAACAAAGGAGCACGCTTAGCTATTGTTTTTCCAAAGAAATACTTAGACGACATTTATTTGTTGTGCTTGAATTCAAGATTGTATTATTTGCGACAATTAAAATATAAAATCTAATAATTGTTGACTCATTTAAATACTTTGTTATGTCTGTAGTTAACGAAAATAGTCGCCATTTTAAATAAAACACTTTTAACTGTTTAAAATAATTTAGTAAAACCGCTTTTTCGAGTTTACAAATGTTAAAAGTGCTTTACTTAAATCGTGTACATAGTAAATTAAAAAAATATATTTTCGATTGAAAAAATTTACGTCAAGGGCGGTACTTGAACCAGCGTCCATAGTCGTCATCGTTGATTTTTTTCAATCTATCGACACTTCTCTAAAGTTAAAAAAACTATTTTTTTGAAATAAAATAATTATATATATATACAATTTAAATGGTTTGCCATTTCTGACATTCACTAGTTAGAAATTGCAAACATTTTCACACATAAGCTAAAATATCGACGCTATCGGTTAGTGAAAATGCGATACACTTTGGTACTAGACAGGAAAGATAATAGAAAATATGGTAATATGTGTTGTATTAACAGCTGCCGTACGTTATGGGAATAGATTATGACGTCAGAGCGGCTAGGAGCGCCATGCTGCCGCCACAAGTTAATATCTCGGAAAGAGGCTTCGTTCCTACAACGCTACAAACCTTTAGGTAAGTGTGTTACAATAATACGAGTATTTTAAGTACACATTTTATATAGTCAGTCTACAGTGACTGTCAGTACTTTTTGGACATGCCTATCGGTAAATAAAACACTTTTGAACGGTTTTTACGCAATATATATAAGTCCGTGTGGAATAGTTATTTTGGGTTTAACTTATTTTTGTAAACAACTTCCTTAACTTTATATTACATTATTTTTCCACGACGTCGTCCGTGTCTCATCGTTCTTACGAGTTACTCTTAAAAGATATCTTTTAAGAGATGGTCCATCCAACACAAAAAGAAGTTTCAATTCAAACTAGTAGTTCCTGAGGTTACCGCGTTCAAGTAAACAAACTTTTCAGCTTTATTATATTAGTATCGATTAAGTCTCACCAATACAATGCAATAGCATAGGAAACGTCGGGTCGTAATAGAAATAGATTTTTTTTATATTTTTCGCGTTTTACTTCAATAAAGTGTTTTATTTAATGAGTACCTATTTGTGAATTAACATAAATCATTCACTTGATGAACAGTGAAATCAACCCAGCCATACAACATCTCAACACAGCAAGATGTGTTGTCTACGTATTTTGTTTTGGATCTGTGGTCGGTGGTTCGTGACCCGAACAGAATTTCGATATTCCTCACACCAATTCAATATTGTAGATTTAGAACCATATATATATATATATTTTTAAAGATGTTGGACCCGGTGGGGATGGAAGGCATTAGCTGTTAATTATAAGCCTTACATTGCTAGCATCAGACCAAAGAACCCGTCAAAATATGATATAACAGTTATTTATTTTTTCCCACAGAGTGCGTCTACCGTGCACGGGAGCCATCAGCGAAGAGATCCTTGTCACGATACAATTGAATATTTCCTCCCCGGAACGAGCCAACAAGGATGTTAGGCTGCTCTTTAAAAGGAATAAAATCTGTTTGGCTGGTAAGTTTCATAATATCGTGTAATTAAAACTATTTTAGTATTGTAGGGTTGATCTTACCTATCCTATCTTGTAAAAAGTTCTCGATTAACAAAATTACTTTGTTCTTAAATTTATTAATTTACGATCTATTCTTATATATTCGAGTATACGTAGCTACCAGATTTACTCAACATAAAACAAAATTATTTAAAACACGTATGTACAGTTACAGTACGCAAAGCTGTATAAAGTGGGGAATAATTGTCGAAAAACAACACACATATTATACTAAAAATATACAAGTAAAACACATGTAATATAATAGATTTTATTATATTTAAATCGCGAAAAGTATTATTCATTCAAATAAAACACTTTAACGGTTTAAAACGCGATATATTAGTTAAACTTATTTGAAAATGATTTTTAACTTCGGCCCGACGTTTCGGATTCTTTGCAGCAGCCGTGGTCACGGGGACACGTTAAAATCAGTTTCAAATAAGTTTAACTAATATATCGCGTTTTAAACCGTTAAAGTGTTTTATTTAAATGTGTACTACTCGCGTAAACTATAGACAGTATTTAAGTATTATTCAGTTAAAAATCGAAAATAAATTGAAACAATTTTCGACTCGGGCAGGACTTGAACCGGCATCGTCAGCGCTCTACCAATTAAGCTACCGAGTCAATTTTTTCGATTTTTAAATTATACAGTGCCTTCATGTGCAATAACATATAAAAAATAATAATTTTAAGTTTTCAAATATTATTCACTGGTTTAAAATTTATTTTGGTTATTAACTATAGCCCGCCATTTTGGATGCTTCGCAACAGCGGCTATAGACCTTATAGTTTATTTACAAGTTCTATACAAGCATAACTACAGATATTGATTAATATACATATTTCGTTATAATTTAATCAAAATAAAACACTCAAAATTTACATACGATTGGCAAAGTCATATTAAATCTAATATTAAATCACCTTATTCATAAAGCAACTGCGAGTTAACGATATTATGAAAACCAATGCTTTCAATTCGTAGACTTGAATGCTTATTCCCCTCCAACAAATCACTTTAACAACCGATGGGTACACTAAAAACACATAAAGCAATAAAAGCGAAGTTTTCCCCGAACACTTTGCCTACAGAAATAATAATAACAATAAATTCGAGCGACTAGCGATTTGAATAAGGGTGTTTTATCTCGATCAATTCGAAACAGCTTACGACTACGGAAAGATAATGATTTGCAATCGACGAATCTTAAATGTGTTTAAATATTCACAATCTTGATTGCGCTGTCGCAATATTTCGCAAGCACGAGGCACAAAGGCGCTATTTCGTCGCGAGTTTATAATAATTTCATGCAAACTGCACGTATTTTCGTTCTTGCTTCATAATAGAATTATTTTCTGTAGCTTTCGCGAGTAGAACGCAAATAAATAATTTTAACGGTTCAAAACGTAAACATAGTCGTCAGTCACAAGTCTAAAAAAAATATGTTAACTAATTTATTTTGTTTTGGTTTGTTTGGTTTGGTTTATTTACATGCATCTATTTTTATTCTAGTTCAATTTTATTCATAAAATAATTAGTTATCTATAGTTTACGCGAGTAGTACATAATTAATAACATATCGACGGTTTAAAACATGATATATTAGTCGCGTCGTAGTTAAACAAAAATAAATGTGACTAGCCATTTTAAGTGTTTTATATAATATAATTATTGCTTCATAATAGAATTAATGCCTGTAGTTTACCCGAGTAGTACATATTTGAAAGGTTTTTAACAGTTTAAAACGCGAAACGCATTGTTGGGTCGTAGCTTAATAAAAAATAAGTAATAAAAATAACCAAGCTAAAAATATAATAATATTCAAATATGTATATATATAGTGAATATAAATAGTATGTTTTAAACCGTTAAAAATGATTTAAATGTTACTCCTCGCGAAAATAGATGCAGGCAAATAAAAGGTTTTAAATTAATGATAATTTATTCCTTAGCTTATTTTAATATGTTTTAAGCTTGGTAATTCGAATTTTAGAAAGTTAAATATCAAAAATCAAGCCCATCTCTTTATCGATATTTACGACAAAATAATTTGCTAATATCGCAAACGCCCTCCTATATTTTTTACCCATCTGATACAAGTTTGCTTTCCACAAATCACTCCCTCTTTCTTTATTAGCATGTAGACGATCCTGTAGACGCAACAGGATATTTTGCGAGGGATGAAGACGTATTATGAAGGGTCCTGGAGACGCCGCGTATCCCCGTTTTAATGTGTTTACAAGGAAGTATCGATTGTTCTATTGTACGGTTATTTGACTTGGAAATTTTCTACCCTCCGCGTACGCCGATAGTAGCTTGTATCAAATTTTTATTTCAATCGTTAACGTTGATGGAGCGAAAGTAAGGTGGTCTGGTGTTTTGTATTGACATCACTTTCAGTTAAATACTGTCTATAGTTTATGCGAGTAGTACACATTTAAATAAAACACTTTAACGGTTTACGCGATATATATTAGATTAATTTATTTGGAAATTATTTTTCGGATGCTCTATAGCAGCCGCGGTCACGGGGAGACTAAAGATGAAAGGCTCAAATAAAATATGAAACACGATTGTTCAGTTAGACGTGGGTTTGATTCCCGCCTGTACCGATTCTTTCAATCTAAAATACGTTTATAATCTGTTTGTAAGTTTAAAAAAACAACACTTCCACACTGAAAACAAAGTCGAAAGAAAAAGTTAAAATATTAAGGAAAATCGATTTTCCGCTTCCTTTTTATGAACTATTTTAGTCTGTGGCTTTGATGAAGCTATTGTATTTTATTTTTAATTAAAAAGTAATAACAATATTGTTTGCTAACAATTATTAAGACATTCTAGACTTTTGTTTATTCAAAATTATGTTTAGTTATTTTAATATTCGTTTAACAAGAAACACACAAAAAACTTTTAACAATTAACGCATTTAAGTGACTATAATGTAATTAAAAATAAAACTAATAATTCCCTCAATAATAAAATACATATAACGGTTTAAAACGCGGAATAGTTGATAGGAGACGCCTGGTGCCAAACATCGAAAATGACCGGACATTTTTGCACCAGGTTTTGCAGTTTTTTAAGCAATTAAAAAATAAATTAACTAATATATTTTTGAATTGTAAACCTTTAAAAGAGTATTATTTAATAGTGTTTCATGTGTCATCTTAAACAATAGACAATACTGCTCTTTTGTTAGCTTAAATCAGTGACTGTGTAATAAATTTGAAAATAATTGAAATTAAAATGAAAGTAAGTTAGACCCCGTTACTAATATATAACTTGTGAAAATTATATATTGTCAACAGCAAAAAACGCTGAGCATGCTGAGTCAATTCTGCCCGTGACGTAATTTTTTTTTAACTTTATTTTTTTTTAATTTAAACTTAAAACTAATCACTGAGTAACATAGAATTGATTCCTGATTTAGTTAGAAAAAAAATGAAAGCCCGATTTGCTCTCGTGGGGCATGGGGCGAACACATTGTGTCCGTTTCACTGATCCGTTATTTTTTAACGGGCAAGTAGTCGATCAGACCTCTGCGCCCTGCCTACCCAAACAATTTAAACTTTCCCTGGGATTCAAACCCAGGTCCTCTCGCGCTTAACGCAATGCCAGGCACTACGTTTAACCATTTGGCATAGAGGCGGTCCTGATTTAGTTACTGAGCTGTAAATCTTTGAGTCCCGTTTCTTCTTGAAGGATATATCCCTATTCCAAGATTTAAATTAAATTTGAATCGTAGCGTGAACGCCGGTTAATTTTTCCACCTGAAGACGCAGGGGGAGCGTTTAATAATCGTCGATTTTCCAAGTACCTGGTTTTATAAAGTCTTCTCCGCATTCGTTGAAAGTTTTTCTATTATTAATATTTCATTTAGGCGGCTTCACTGTGATATCATTATGTTGGCGTTAGAGAAAAGCTTTAAAGTGAAAATAAATATCACTTCGTCATGCGATACTTGCGTAATTTTTGGATCCACTTTCCGGTGATTGATATGAGTTTGAAAACCTATTTACTAAGTAGTTTGACGACTCATTTACCACGTTCGATCCCCACTTGATACACCATGTTCCATTAAATGTATAATTTTTCTTCAATATCCTGGATTTCGTTTGTAAATCTGGATAATAAACTAAATAATCTGGCCATGAGGTTTAGTCGCCTTTCAATGCTTATCGGTTTCCGAATATCCGAAGCTAAAAAAGGTCGACAACACATCATGATGATTTGTTTTAGCTGAGGTATATAGGCAGTTCCCATCAAGTGAACGCCTTGCTTATTAATGTCGAATAAATATTAAGACTTGGACTTCTGTACGCCCTAGAATTGGGACACATTTTGTTGATTCCGTTCGATTGAGGAAATGTACAGTCAAGTCTACAACGTCGTTATTTAAAAGTACTCATAAATACTCGGCAACTGTTTTATAACTGTGCTTTGCATACTCTACATATATTTTAAAGTATCCTACATACTTTAAAATATATTTTTTCATAAATCTTTATTTTCCTTTCACGCTCAAGGGAAATATTATTATTCCTATCTACAACAATCGTTATCAATTGTTTAATTATTGTTGTATCGATATTTTTTAATGGATGTCAAAATAAAACGTATCTAATTATAAGAAATCTATACACCCTGCTATGTTTTTTATTGATATTCTCTTACTTTACACCCAAAAAAGGTAAAATATTGTGTGGTATTCGCATATTTAGTCTCAGCTATCTTATGGTCCTGGTAAAGGTTAAAAACAGTTTAATTAAATACTGTAGTTTCCACAGTAGGAGATATATATTAGCTAAACGTTTCGGATGCTTCGCCAAATACCAACTTCGACGGAACAGATGGTGCTAGAGTAACAGTTTCTTACTTTGACCTCAGAGACACCCTTCATCTTTAGTCTCACCGTGACCACGGCAGCTGCAAAGCATGTGAAACGTCGGGCTGTATTTAAAGTAATTTTCAAATAAGTCTAACTAATATATATCGCGTTTCAAACCGTTAACATGTTTTATTTAAACAGTTTAATACCTTTTAATTTAACAGTTTAATTAATCAAATGAATTTTTAACTATTATAATCTCTTTCATTCAGGTGTGTCAACAATTGTTACGCGCAACGAGACTGCCAGATTAGCCGGTGACGCCTCCCACAGTTCAGGGGGAGTGTTGTTTGCTGCTGGGGGCTGTGCGGCAGCCGCCCTTGCTCTGCTGGCAGGAGCCGCAGCAGCAGGAACGTTATACAAACGAGGGAACAAAGCCAGACATCATGATTCTATACAGTAAGTTACCCGTTTTGTCGTGAATTTTTTGGGTCGATAAGGCTCTTGTGCTCTATCCAATCGAAACTATTATAATTTCCGGTAATTTAAACACAGGACCTAATAAATATTACTAGTAATAGATTATTATTAGTAATTAGACTAGGTCTTTGTTCTAATGGTTGCGTGGTAACAGTTCGTGGGTTTGATCCCCGAATCCACCATGTTTCTAATCAATTTATTATTTTACCAAATGTGTTGGTTTTGGAATGGGTGTTAAATGAGAGGCAGGAATATCAAATTTCATAATAATTTTAAGTCATATCTTTAATCATCAAATCTCAAATTTCGATTTCAGTCTGTAGATTACCGAATATCTAAATATCGATATGATGATCTTGTTGTCATGCATTACATCTTCCAAATGAACTGCTTTCTTGTCGGCCCTTATTAATAAAAAAATCATCTTTAGAAAATCTTTATAGGAATAGATAATTTTCCTACATACCAATTCCATGCATTATAATGTAAGGAATTCTAAATCTTCGTCGAGAGCTACTTTGGCAAAGTTCCTACTGCAAAGTGTTAGTACTAATATAAAACAGCATGACTGCAACAAAACCCTTATCTTACAGCATTCTGCAAAATTTTCGTGAACCCTGCTTTAGAAAAAAGAAAACAAATTTTATTTACTATGGTAAATATGTAATATATGTAAAACGGTTTTATATGTAAAACGTTTTTAGATGTAGACGAAAATTGGCAATTTGAAATTAGTATGTTTTATTTAAAATTAGATCACTTTTAACTTTAAATTGATTTTGGATATATCCGAAAGAGTAATTTTTAGAATATATATAGAATAATAATATCTATATATTATTCTTCTATATATATTCGTCACGTAAGTTTTTGATACAACGGATCTATATCCGTTGTATATATAAGTATAACAATACAACATACTGTATTATATACGTCAGTGTGACCTTAATGTTATAAACGATCGAGACAGTAACCTATTTCGTTTTGTACACAATATAGGTTTAGTTTGACCCGGAAGTGTGGGTGTCAAGTGAGAAGCGCTTGGCTTTTATTAAAATTATGTTTTACTACAAAAACCAAATATTGAAAAAAAAAAACAGTTCTTATAAGGTTTAAAACTTATTTACAAATAATTCAAAATACACGTAGCAGTTTTTCGTTTGACATCGGGGATATCGACTATAAAGTAGTTTCCCCGTGACCATGGCTGCTGTAAAGCATCTGAAACGTCGGGCCATCGTTTAAATAATTTGTAAAGAAGTTTAACTAGTTTTGCGTTTCAAACCGTTAAAAGTATTTTATTTAAATGTGTACCACTCGCGTAAACTACATACAGTACATAAATACCATAAGAAGAGAGAAGACACGGGAAAAAGTATACACATAAATAGTGCTATTTTTTGCGTTTAACTTTTATACTCATCTTTGAAATAATGAAAAATAGCTTTAGTTATTTTTAGATAATGAACCAAGAAATGTGTAAAACGTGTACAATATAAGGAAGTAGTAAAAATCGCTTCGACCCGACACTTGCAATTATTTGTATAGTTCGATGGAAGCTACCCTTGTCTCTACGCTTGATGGATGATAGCGGAGGCTTTATCGATACATAATAAATAACCCGGCGACGTTTAATTGCGCCTCGCTTTATGTCCTACAATGAAAAATTGCTTCGCCGTTCGGTTTTAGAAAACCGCCCTTTTGTTTGCAGAGCGCCACGTCATTATTTTTGTTGAATGCGGAAAAACAACTTATACTATTAATATTAAATATGTTAGCAAATCTATATTTTTAAGTTTGTTATGTATGCCCGAAACAAAATTACGTGATTTAAAAACCAATAAATCAATATAATACACATAATAAGGATAAAATAAATGTACCGACCAAAAGGCTCCATAAAACTTGTAATTCTGTTTTAGGTAGCTTGTGGTGTTTTAATAAAATCCCTAGTGAAGAACAAACACTGACAATAAATAAGTTTAAATTGTATGTTTTGTTTAACATAGGTACGATTTCAATTCATTTATTGATTAGCGCTATCGATTTTCGGCTTAGGATATTCCGAAATCCACAGATTAAAACCGAAACTCGATTAAACTTCATGACTTTTTCATCTATGGATTCGTAAATCGGACGATATTTCAATATTTCTATTCACATATATCCAAATGCAGTCCCGACATGTTTGATTCGAAATATGTTGAACCTAGTGGGGTTCGAACCCGCGTAACCATGCTGTAAACTTAAAGCCTGTATGTATATCTTTTTTTTATATTATAATTATTAGTGATTTGCCAGCTACAACAGGGCCTCCCCATCCTTAGTCAGAAAGGATCTGGGTTATATGTGCTATATTATTGGATATTTCTCAACCTATTATTTTCTTGCAGTACATCATACACTACAGCAGCATACGGTAGCCACCAGAACGTATTATTACGATTGGATACACTCGGCCGCCCGCCCAGCTCCACTGGTTCTTACGCTACTATCGCTAGTCTACATAAGTTCCCCTTTGGTAAGGAAATGTCTAATGTACATTGTGAAAATATCATCTGTGTAGCTCAGAACATCCTAGTGGTATAAATATCTTACAGGTAAACGTCTAATTTCTAAAAATCTAAAATGTTCATAAAAACAGTCTATATACACAATTCCGAATATTAAAATTGTGAGCAAAGTGCGGCACCAAGATAAAAGTCAAAACCGTGAAAGAATATAGTCCAAAAAATTTAGCTCATTATTTTATATCAAATTAATTATGTCTATTTGTGACCCTAAATCTTTTTTTTATATTAAAAAAAAATAAGATACCCAACATATAAAAATAAAATAGTGGTATAAAATTAACTGATTGTTATTTATCAAGTACATTGTCCAAATATGGCCCGACAAGAGCATTTTAAATTGTAACTAAAGTTCCGAATTTCTCAAAATATTTGTTCTAAGCAAAGTAAGTAACACAGTAAAATTTGAAACCGCAAAAGAAAACTTTAAAACTTAAGCATTGAAATGTACTAGTATGCTTTTTGTTCTCGTACAATTGTTATTATGTAGTGCTTTATATCCTTATCGTTTAAAATGTATATCTGTTTAAAACTTCCAATAAATAATCATTCTATGGCGGTCCACAATTTGTTTCGGCACGCCACATTTGTTTTGATTCGCGGTTTAGTATATTTCAAACGAACCACACGGTGAATAGTTTGCTTAGACTATACTCAATCAAGAGCTATGAAACAGACCAAACTTAGGGACTTGAAGTAGGTACCGGAGCACTAACTATCTAAAACAAACTACTGTCTACGGCTTAAGTCGATCGTTTGATTGAAAATCAATTTTAATTACAAATCTACATTTTGTGATTATTCTTTTAAAATAGTTCTGTAGTTTACGTGACTAGTACACATTCAACTGTTTAAAACGAGAGATTGTGCGTCAACTCTGTAAGAACCCAGTTAGTTTCTCCAAATACCTACTATAAGGAAACAGATGGCGCTAGCTTAGCAGATTTTGCTTTGACATTAGGAAGCATATCCATCTTCAGATTCTCCGCAAAAAATTGCTGCTGCAAAGCATCCAAATAAATAATTTTATAACAATTTAAATAAAACACTTTAACGATTTAAAACGCGATATATTAGTTAAACTTATTTGGAAATGATTTTTAACTTCAGCCCGACGTTTCGGATGCTTTGCAGCAGCCGTGGTCACGGGGAGTTCCAAATAAGTTTGACTAATATATCGCGTTTTAAACCGTTAGTGTTTTATTTAAATGTGTACTACTCGCGTAAACTATAGACTGTATTTATGTACTACTCGTTTATACTATATACTTAATTTGTATAATCTGTGCTTTATACAATAATCGGTTTAACTTAAAGAATTAAGTATGAACGGTGTTGGAAATTTTATTTTGACTATGTAATTAAAGTTAACATACTATTTTCATACAATATCCCGAATGGCAGTCGTGCAGGGATTAAATTAAAAAGGCTTTTACTATTTTCATCATTTCCTCTACTTTATTTTAACAATTTTCCCATACTATAACTGAGCGTTTTCATATTATCTCGCGCATTAAACGAAGTTGTTGATAATTTTGCATTTAAATTTGAGAGTTTTTGAGGTAACATTCGTGTATTGCGGTGTTGTACGTAGCCTGAGGTAATGTAATTTAAAGCGTGTCGGCTTATATACCTAACATGCATATATAAATAACATATATTTATAATATTAAATATTTTTCACATGATGCCATTGTGAAAAAGCGATTTTAGTTTGAGAATAAATGACACGGACTAGAACCGGCATCCACACAGCAAGTGTTAAGGTTGAAATTACATTGCGCGAGAGATGCATGTATCAATAAGTTGAAAAAATTCGACGACGAGGTGTGGGACTCGGTAACTCATTTGGTTAGGGCAACAGCACGGAACGCTGTGGATGTCGGTTGAAATCTCGCCCTCGTTTTTTCAACCTAGGTTATATCGATTTTAAATTTATCTTAAATGCAAATGCGGTATATGTATATAAAAATAATGAAGTAAACGCTATCGACTGTTTTGAACGCAAAATGTATTAGTTAACCAATTTTTGCCAACGACCCAACGTTTCGGATGCTTTTCAAGCATTTGCAGCATAGCACTATATTACGCATTTTAAACAAAACAGTTAAACATTACCTAGTGATAATACATAATAATAATATGTAATAAAATATATATAAAATCAGTATATCTGTAGTTTATGTGAGTAGTACAAATTTAAATAAAATACTTCCAACGGTTTAAAACGCGAAATATATTACTTAAAGTTTACAGATGATTTTATTTATGACGTTTTCGATGCTTAGCAGCAGCTTTTCGCCTTTTGAACCGTTAAATGTGTTTTATTGGTAATGGGTCTATCATTCAAAAATTAAATATTGACACATGCAATATCCTCGATATAATTGTTTAAGAGCGTTAAATAAACTTCTATCGTAGAATCAAACCCTAGACCCTAGACTAACCCTAGACTGGAGAACCGAAGCAAATTGTACAAGATGAACTTCTTCAGTTAATATGTTATGTCCACAACAGGTAGTCGAAGATCGCCATCTCCATATGCGACCACACACATTGGAGAGCACGTGTATGCGAAGCCGGATTCCCGTGTATCCTACTATGCAGCCTCCAATTTAACACATGTCTCTCAGGTAAATAAATATGTATATCTCTTTACTTGGCATTCATTTGTTCAAAGTTAAAAAGAAATAAATGTAATTAATAAAATCATTTCATATCTCGGAAATAAAGATACACTTAATTATGTTTATTTATTTTTCTATTTTAGTCTACCTTAACAGGTTAAACCTAATATGATAGAAAAAAAGTACAAATACATTAGAATATTAATAATTACATAAACTATATGACGCTACTTTTATGAATTCACCCAGCGAGCAGTGAAATATGTCTAAAAGCCCGATCTGTAGCGTTGAGAATCCGAAGTGCACGTGTTAGATTTTTATACTACAAGACCTATAATATAGACATCGGACTATATAGAGATTTAAGAATATTATGTAAATAACAAGTCAAAAGCTTTTCTATTTCGTCAAACATTCTGTAAACCACCCACATTTATACATAACATAAATAATGATTTATACTAAGTTTAATTACATATATACAGGGTGTAAATGGAACAGTTCTGAAACCCTATGAGGCCATATATAAGGGCTAAAAGGTGTTTTATGGTGCTATTCATTTTAATTTATTTCCAGATTTTTTTCAAAGTTTTTAATACGAGTATAAAATGTACAGCGTACAGCCCTGAAGCATATTGCAATACGTTTTGTAAATGGTCGTATTAATAGATGAATAGTTTTTACGTTTATTATACCTATCTTGTGGTAAAAAGTGGACACTGATTGAAATTGTTTTGCGTTTGTTCGAAGGACTCAAGACGAAAAAAAAACAAAACCTACATGTCATACGTACAATAACATAAAATACAGCAAATGAATAAGCAACTTAATAAAAAACTTACATTTAGATCATATTATTATGTTAAAACTATTTACTTACGTGAAAGATAAAGATATTAAATATTGAATAACTGATGTCGTGATCTCGTATGTATGTATCGTTATACACTTGCAGTAATTATTAACTATTAGACACTACACATCCACCTAAGAATAACTTATTTGTAGAATTTACAATCAATCACTTAAACATACGTAAACCCTTAAGACGCGTGACGACGTGCATCAAGGTCAAGTTAATATTCGCAACTAAAAATAATACAATATTAAAAAAGGATGCCGACACGCTTTTCGACTATATCAGGTGAGGGGGCGTGGACTAGACACTCTTTGTCGGAATTTACCGAGCTAGCGTTTCGGCGCGTACGGCGGCTAAAATTAAACGAAGCGTAGTGTTGCCGTTTTGTTTTTTATAACGAGTGTCGATAAAAAAAACAGATGTACAGTTTAATAAGATAGGTTCTATGTTTTTACAACTAATTAAAGATAGGCTTAAAATTATTCCTTATAAAAGTCGATGGTTATAAATTAATAATTTAAGATAAAATAAAAGAAGTAAGTATTGTCTGTACTTAATGTTTAATTAAGGGATTGTTGATGTTAAGTTTCAAAAAGTTCAAAATGGAAAAGGTTAACTTATTTACAATTTATTTAAGTATAAATATGGACATTTTAGGTGCTTTACAGTAACCGTGGTTTATGAAAGAAGAGTCTTTTGTTAAATAAATTGTAACTTTAAATTAACGAATACATTTCACGTTTAAACTGTTATAAGTGTTTTATTTTAATAAGAAGTATGTCCATGGAACAAATAAATTTATCGGAAAAATAAATAGTGGTTTATCGATATTATAGTTTACCGATATTCGAGTGTATTGAGGTACATACCTATACCTATTCTACTACTTTTTAAATTTTGTTTAGTTGCCGGTAAACATTTCTTGCGTCATCACGTTCCTGCTAATTTTAGGAACTCGTAATTATCTCGTTTTTTAGTGTCTTCGTTAGTTTTGTTCTTTCATTTATCTAAATTGTTTTTATTTACTTTTTAGTTGGTTTCTTTTTTTTGCTTATTTAATTTGTGATATTTCGTGGTGTGTTAGTTTTATTTAAAATGTTTGCGTCGAATTTGTAACCAGCACGTGAGTATCTCATTATGTTAATTTATTTAGGTTTACTTTTGGTAATGCGAAAGAGGTGTTGAGAATTTACTGGAGAAGGTAGGGACCTCTCGTCTGCTGGCCGTCTAAGTTATGCAGTTTTAATTGCGGTTTTGCTATGGTGGTTTTGTCTTTCTTATTTATTTGAAGTTGTATTAAATGTATACTAAATACTTTTTTCGAATATTACAACTATACGCTAAGATGAAATAAAAAATACCTAACCTACTTAAATTGATCAGCTGTTCACGTAACGTTTTGCGGGTGTGTAGGTCCTTCACCTTACCGGCTAGGGTAGTACCTTCTCGGCTGTACGCTCTACATTTCATACTCGTATTCAAAACTTTGAAAAAAAATCTTGAAATAAATGAAAATAAATAGCACCATATTACACCTTTTAGCCTCTAATAAATTCCCTTATAAGTTTTCAAAACTGTTCCATTTACACCCTGTATATAAAATAATTGAAATATTCTGTTACACGCGTCAACGTCGTCTCGGCTAACAACTTCGTGCGTCGTGCGAGGAATCGAATGCGTTTGTTAACCGTGAATTTTCGAGCTATGTTGAACCAAATCGTACACGGTTCTTGAAAGCGATTAAAATGTCAATAAATAATTATTCATAAATAAATAATGATTAGGTCGAATAACTTGTGAATAAATAATATCCCTCCATTAAAATTGTGTTGACTTCGAGTCTACAGAAGCGAAAACTTTTAAGTAATCCGAAAAGTTGAAGTTGTCTTATTCCGTTATTAATTGTTCAGCAGTTAATTAAAGCTTCTTATGCTATTAATTAATTTACGACAGTAAATATTTAGTCTTACTCTCGTTTTACATAAATTAAACTAAAACCTATAACTTTTGTAGGACAATAGAAATATTATTAACTAACTTATATTAACGTCACTCAGTTTGTCCGCGTAGAATAATTACGCTACTAGTACACATCGTTTTACTAATATGTATCGCGTTTTAAACCGTTAAAGTGTTTTATTTAAATAATTATTTTGGGCGTTTAAATTTATTTTTATGCATACCTTCTTTTGATTTTTTAAAATTTAAGCGGTTTTCCATGACGTCGGTAGCGTCCCGTCGCTCTTGCTATTGTATATTAAAAGATAGATATAGTGTCGCGGACATTTTAGATTTTTTCAAGAGGTTTTTCAAGAGGTTCAAGGAGACCGTTTTCGCAGCGTACGCAACGGAAACGCTCAAGGATAAATAATTTTCCTCATTCCTTTTAACATTTGCCGCTGTCTCTTCGCTCTTATTAGTCGCTGGGCGATGTTATGTAGCCTATGTTCTTCTTCAATAAATGCTCTAATTAACACAAACGTCAACAACAAATCAAGATTGAAACAAACAAACAAACTCTTCTGCTTTATATATTTTAATTTATCTACAGCATTTTCCTGGCTGATAAATAAAAGATGGAGCTAAGAAAGGCGACTTTAAACATTTTTCAAGCCAAGGCAGACGTTGAATTGCGCGTGTAATGAGCCCTTTACCTCATTAGAGATCCAGTTTGAGCTTCAACACCCCCTTCAGGTGATACAAACGTAATATAATTAGCAATCTTCGTTGCTCAAGATATTACACAGCTTAACTATCACTGGAAGAGACTTAAAAATATAAACAGACAGACCACCTAGATATAAAAGAAGCGTCTATTTTTTTACTGTATTTACATAACAAAATCTAATTAATGTAATAACTAGGAATATCTTTACTTCTATTATAAGGCCGAAGAAGAGTTTGTTTACTTGAACGCGCTAATCTCAGTTGATTTGACCGATTCTTTTTTGTTTTGGATAGACCATTTATGGAGAAATTTTGTATTTTATTATGCAAAAATAAATAATATGATACCCAAAAATAACTATTCCAAGCGGACGATGTCGCGGGCGCAGCTTCTCTAAAATAAAATTCAGCGCAGCAGCACAATTTTATTGTCCAAAATGAAGCCACATCTAGCGATCTATCTCCTTATTATCATTAGCATTGGCACGAAGCAGAGTTTTAAATTTGCAACCCCCTTTGTCCATAAATTAAACACAATGCTAGGGTAAAATTATGAGTGGAAGGCGTTAAAAATAGTGTATAGTGGGATTTAATGAGGCGGGTGTGTTGCGGGGCTCTTTTAAATAAGTCTGCAGAGGAGATGCAAATTGAATCGTTTCAGAACATACTGAGGAGGGCTTAAGTGTAAATCGATCAGTGTCAGCAAACAGAAATTGAATTGGGCTGTGTATCTAAAGCTTACGAGACGGCTAGATCTTCAAGGCGGTGCATGTTCTCGCAAGGAAACTCTATCTATCGTCAGAATATAGTAACTTATGCGAAAAATACTAATTGAAATTCTTGATTCGTATCAAAAGGAAACGTCAATAGATAACAAATAAGATGTTAAAAGATAAGGTTGTATTGCTTAAACAAATAAAAGAATGTAATGAATATATGTTTTTATTTATTATCTGTCGTCTTCAAGCAATCGTTTGCCTAAAATTAATATTGTTTTATATAAAATACAGAGAGATGTCCGCATGTTACTTAAATGTTATAGGCCTGAGATACTATTTATTTATTTCACACTTCTTAGGTACACAAAACAAAACTTACAGATACTATACACTTTAAAAATATAAAGTGTACCGGGCGGCCCAATCGCTATAAGCGATCTCTTCCAGGCAACCCGAGTAGGAAGAAACTTAACGACTAATTCAAAACTATACAGTGTGCAAGAAGTGCGAAACTTACTAATTACTTAAACTATACGAAATAAACTTAAAATAATAATAATAACAACTCGTCAAAATAAAAAAAAATAAAAAAAGGAAAAGAAAAGTTATCTTTGTTGTAAAAATATATATCAACTTTTTAGTTTCTCCTTTTTTCAAAATTAAAAAAAAGATACAACTTTGGTTAAGGTTTTTTTCATGTACGAATGATTATATCGGTAGCAGTGTATGGTAAATAATCAACGGGTTTTTTGTTTTTTCCAATAAATTTATAATTTTCCTGAAACATGTTGGACTTCGTCTGGTAATCTGGATATTAAATAGGTGATCCGGTCGTCCACAGACGACAGTTTCGATTTCAGCCTGTGGGTTTCCGAATATCCAAAGCCAAAATAGGACGACAGCGCATCTTGTTTAGATGTTATATGCCTGGTGACTACCATCAAGTACATCCTATGCTTCTTTGTCCTCATCTATCATAAAAAAACAAATATTAATAACTAACGAGTAAGCCTTTTCTTAGAATTAAGGCTTCGCTAGGGATACACAATCACATTTCACATGTTTGATATTTCTGTGTTAATCAAAAAACTGCCAGTTCGTAGTTGCTATGTTTGAAGACAATCATTAATATTGCTCTGTAATTGGAATGTCAGGCTGGCGGACCACAGCGATTTGGTACAACAGAAATCCAGTCTTTTGAAAATTGAGATCTAAAGTGCTGGAAACCGAGTTTGTTATCTTTGTATTTTACGCAAGTGCAGTAAATAAAACAGTTTTAACGTATTTATAGACAATTTATTTTTTCAACAACCCGACGTAATGTCTACAGTTTCGTGAACACGGCTTCTGCATTGTTTAATTTATGATTGTTTACTCTTATATAAAAAGTATCTGTGATCTTTTAAATAAAGCACTTAAACGGTTTAAAACGCGATATATATTTATTATAAAATAATATTAACTACCGCCCGACGTTTAAAAAAAAAATACTATTATATATCGCGTTTTAATCCGTTAAAGACTTTGTATTAAAATGTGTACTACACGCGGAAACTACGGACAGTATCTGTGATCTTTGTATTTAAAGCGATTGTGTTTTGTTTTAATAGAAGGAATTACACCTAGTTAAGAAATATGAGAATCTTTGTAACTTAAAAGAAAGAATAAACGAAACGTTTTTTAAATTATTTTACTAAATAGTTGGTTCCGGATAATTAACAGTTTATTAACATAAGTACAAAACTTACATTTAAAAGAGTAATAAAAAAAATGTACAATCAAATAATGAAAAAACTTTTAAATTACTTATTAGCAGTTACTATAAGATTTACAAAGATACTCGTATTACAATTACAACTAATATTAAGTTTTGTCTCTAATATTTCTAGTTTACGCGAATAGTACACATTTAACTACGACCCGACGTTTCCCATACCATACACTGTCAAGGGGTCTCCACGGCTGATACAAAGCATTCGATCTGTTTTATTCAAAGGAGTTAAATTTTACAGCAAACAATAACTAAGGACCGCATAACGGACCCAGCAGAACAACTTAGACTGCTGACTACTCCTCGGACAAATATTCGGCTGGAAATTCTCGTGCATGAAGGCACTTTTGGTAGAATTTATAAAGGGGTATTCAAGCGAGGAGATACCTACGAGGAGGTGTTGGTGAAGACAGTTTCAGGTAATCACAATTTATTAGTAAAAATATGAAGGATACAATTAAACATTATGAACCAAACAATTAGAATCTGTGAGCAATTAAAAATTTAGTTTTTGTAGTAAAATTTATACATCACTTATCACATAGTTAGACTGCGTTATATTTTGAAAAACAATTACTGGTTGCATGCTGGTAGTGTTGGCAGAAGGGAAAACTTAAATATTTACGTTGTACATTTCTGATGTTTTGGAATCGTTAGAAGAATTGCTTTAATTGTAAAATAAAATATAAAATAAAAGACCTGAGACATGTGCATCAAATCGACGATGAAGTTTGCAAAACAGTAGCTCAATTGGTTAGAGCAACACGACGCTGTGGATTCCAGTTCAGGTCCTGCTCAGCCTGATTTTTTTCGATGTGATCGATTTTAATTTTATAAAATGAAATAGGATATGAAAAATGCTTTAAATTTTCAAAATACTTTATTATTTTACATTTATGTGAAATGTAAAAATTGAACATTCATATGGTAGAGGCAGACTCTCCCTTTGTTATACATATTTCCGATTAGATATCCTGAAATGAGTTTGTTTGTTCTTCACTACTTCAATCTCACTCTAATTTTATTTCTCATTAGACGCTGCATCGGCAATGCAAGCTGCATTATTGGTTGCCGAAGGTCTAAGGTTCTTTGGTCTAGTCCATTCCAATGTACTCTCACCGATGGCAGCCTGTGCCGAAGAAGCCAGAAAACCTCTATTAGTATATTGTTGTGTATCACATTCTTCTAATCTTAAGAGGTATGTGACCATCAAGACATTATAATATATGCGTTTATTAATTTTAGATTTATCACTCCTTAATCTTCTACTTCCATCAACTGGCATAGCCTATAGTTTTTAATTTTCGTCCTCGCATTGTACGAAAATAACAATATTGATGCAAATAACTATTTTATATTCCAAACAAAATGCTATTCCAATAATTGTTAGTTTACTTAATAGTCGATAATCCTATCGTATCATTAAATGATTATCTGTTTGTGCTAGATTCTTAACATCATGTCGACTCGGTCAGCAAGCTGCGCCGGCGACGCGGGAGCTGGTGGATTTAGGAGCACAACTCGCGTGTGGTCTCTCGTACTTACACGTGCAACGAGTAGTCCACGCTGATGTTGCTTCTAGGAATTGCATGTGAGTTACTATTATGTTGTAGGTGCAGAATTTATGCAGCTTACTAAATCTATTAAGTTTTATAACAATGTTAGCTTCTTTATTTAGGGGCTAATGCATGGCCAATAACCAACGAGTCGTAAGTTCACTAATAATGTTTAAAGTAGTATATATGCATAATAATATAAATATTTTTTTTATACAGAGTGGACGAGAAATTAAGACTGAAATTGACAGACACCGGTCTATCTAGGGATCTTTTCCCAGATGACTACCATTGTCTGGGTGACAACGAGAACAGGCCCGTCAAATGGATGGCCCCGGAAGCTCTTCTTCATAACCAGTATACCACAGCTGCAGATGTGGTATGCATAGTAACTGCAAAAAAATCTTTTACCTTGATAGTCGTAGAACGATACTATGGATATACGTTGGTGATCACCTCAGTTGCCTTATGGTTTAACATGCTAATCAAGAGTCCTGGCTTCGAATAAAAAAACAAATAGGATGAAATGTTTCGGTCAGAGAGGGCAGAAAAAGAGACACATTAAGATAAAACACCTTTAACGGTTTAAAAGTCGAAATGTATTGGTTAATTTATTTACAATTTATTTTAACCATTGTTAAACCGTAGGACCGTTAAAACAATTTGTAAATACAATTTATACAAATTGTACAATATATTAAGTACGCAATGAGAACAGTCTACATTTATAACGGCAATTTAGTACAAGATAAATATATAATTTATCTAAGCACCTAATTTGAAATTGATTTTAAAGCATCTTTTTCGTCTTAGTGGTCTCTGGGAGTGACGTTATGGGAATTGGCGACTCTGGGTGCTTCCCCCCTATCAGAGCTAGACCCAGCCGATGTTGGTGCATTTCTTAGTGGTGGCTACCGACCGGCGCAACCTCACAACTGTCCTGACGAAATGTAAGTTTAATATGCATCGTAATACAGACAACAATAGTCAACAGTATTTCTTTTTCAATATGCTTGAGTTGTTTAAAACTGTTAGCCCACGTTTTATAGTACTTTTCTCTTAAAGTTAAATAGTACAATTCAGAACTCTTAAACCAATAACGAAGTTGATACACTACTCTTAGCAATAGTTTACGCGCCGAAAACTTTTTTTTCACTAAACAGCTTTCTAGCTGCAAGTCAGTTCGATATTTAAATTAAACCTTTGAAAGGAAACTTCTGTGGTCGCTATGTTGCGGAGTAAAATATCGTTCCATTTTTATTTAAACGATGGAGATGATTTTACCAAAAAAAAATTTTTAGCCCTTAACACGAGAGATATGGATTATCATACAACTATTTCCGAAGCTTGCTCGATCATTATATCAAGTTCGATTTATCTTGAAGAAGGTTGAAAAATAATGCTCAAATTTCCAAGCAGGAGAAAATATTATGTTACTATTGCATACAAATTAATACTTGACAACGTCGTATGTAAAGATGTTAATATTTTAACCGTCTTTCACCTCTATAGTATGTTTACCTTAGATATTTGTTTCATAATATTATATTAAATTTAAGTTAAGTTTACACTACTTTGTGAAAACAGGTATGGTTTAATGAGTTGGTGTTGGACGACGTCTGCCGCCGCCCGCCCAACCGCGCCGCAACTTCTAGCTGCTCTACACGACTTTAGACAAGCCCTTAGTACTTATATCTAATTCCTTGTGCTACAATCTACCGTATAGCTATGATTATTCGGAACCAGCTCCTATGTTATAACTATTCAAAGCCGCTACGGCGTCTGTACAGTTTATCTGTCTGTTAAATGTTTAAAAGCTCACCATTTCAATATTTCCTACTTACGGAGATTGTTTTTCATTTATAAATTCTTGCTCGCCATTTCTATAGATATGTACTTAAAGTACCAAAGTGCCTGTTCAGTTCCCATTAGTAAGAATTTATTTTTATCCACGTTTGTGTGTCGTGGGGGACCAATACAATGATTCGCTAACTATTCCATATTTTACAACGATTAAGAATGGAATGAAAAAATCATATTTTTTATTGTTTTTAGTACTGAAATAACAATGGAAACAGTTTCAATTTATTTTTCATGTTTATTACCTATTGGTTATTAATCCACACACTGTATCACAAGGGAATATTTAGGAAGAAATATTAGGTATATACCACACTAAAAGAGACTGTATGGAAATTACATCGTTTATAGCAAGCGATGAAAATGTAAATATAATTGATTCTAAGGTCCATCTTAAGTTAAGGATAGGAGTTCGTGGAATTCTTAAAAATAATCGGTGTCTATGTAATAAGACACTTACCAAAGATATATTTGACGTAATATAAAATTGTCGTAATTCGAGGTTAGTTACCTTTTAGTCCAAAGATTTGTGTCTGTAATAATATAGCTTAGGTTAATTCAATTGGACTAAACGAAATTAAGGAACCTGTACATATTGAAAAAGTCAATGCAGAAGGAATTTAATTTTTTGATGACCATAATGATAGATATACAAATGATTCAGGTATTTCATATTATGGACAATAATGATAAAATAAAAAGACGTAGAAATAAATAATCTCTTCAGTGTGTCAATAAAAATCAATCTTCAAAATAAGACTAACACCGAAAAAGGTAAATTGATGACCATAATATGAAATACCGTTTTTAATGTTTAAGATAGGTTAAGAGTTCCTGAGGACATCAGGTCCGTCCAGGCAAAGTAAGGATTAACACCAAAACTGTAGTTAGTCACGAAATTACTATAAATCTTGAAAAGTTTATTTTTACTGGTAAAATATGCTTGAAACTTTAAAATTCAATTTAGTTTGAAACAATTTTGACACAGTAGCTCAATTAGTTAGACCAGCGTGTCGTGTCGTGTTTTTTTCAAACTAAATTTTGTGTCCGTCTAAATCGATTTCTATGATGTAACTTGTAACAAAGTAATAACACTTATTTGTGAACGTATAAATCATAGAAGGTTTAAGTATCCATTTTTTCCAATAAATTATTGTTTTGTGTCTATAGCAAGCTTTGAAGATCGAGTTTCAACTTTCAACGAAAATTAACACCCACGACGGACGCCCTACAATACTCGTAAAAATAATCCCTCAAGACCTCTTTCGTGAACGATTTGTCTATTACCAAATATTCGATATAGGAAAATATTAACTATAATATACACTTTTAATATATTTATACCGACTTAGTGCAATACTGTAAGTTCTTCACTTGTTCTGTTTAACACGCGCTTGTTTTCTTTGTTACCTGTTTTTGCAACATTTACTTGAATAAGAGCAACATCAACTACATGTTTCTAGTACCTTTATAGCCCCTTTAGGGTATCTCCCTTTAGGATGTTTATAAACTTAATAAAGAGCGGTTTAAATTGTTTTAATTATGCTTCATGCTAACAAAGCATATTTAGGCCTTGTAGAGAACGAATTTTGTGTAAGGCTTCCCCGTTCTTATAATCGTATGTAATTCGTAATTATTGTATGTATAACGCGTTATGGATTATACAGGGTGATTCAACTCTTAGGCGTCATACATTATCTCTAAGAGATATTTTCGCATGATAACATTAAGACATGCTTTAATCGCGTACAATTTTCCTGTGTTACCTAACTTGGCACTAATTTTCAGCTAAGAGGCTCCTACTTTTTTTTCAGCGGCTATTCAAGTTCATAATTAGCAATAAAGAAATGGTTTGTCAAATAAAGGAGTTAAATTTGCATGTTAGATAACTAGATGTTTAATCTGTGGTGTTTCGATGTTTGATTGGATGTTCGTATTAAACTTTGTATTGAAGTACATTAACGGTACTAGTGTTACATATTAAAACACTATTAACGGTTTAAAACGTGAAATCTATTAGTCTATACATTTTCACGAACCCGACACTTCAGTAGCGTTGCAGGACGGAAGCCATCTGTTATATAAAGTACATAATATATTTCGCGTTTTAAAGCGTCAAAATTGTTTTATATAATTATTTTGTCTGGTATTACTAAAATTTTATGTTACATACGCGCTGCTATAAAGTTACCTATTAACGTAATGAAGTAAGGCTCTATTTGCTATGCACCTTATGACGAACTCACCATATTTTTTTATTCTAGCTGTTCTGTTTCATATTAACTGTTGTTAGTTTTAAATTCTAGTACATCTTTATAATTTGCTCATGAAAAGATAATATGTATTTTCAGCAGTTTGTTGCATTTTAAATAAAATAATATTTAAGGTTTAAAACGCGAAATGTATTAAATAACTTTGAACTCTGACTCGTGGTACTTAACAGCCATACTTAACCTATGGTTTAATATTGATTAAAAAAGAGAATAAGGCAGGCGGGCAGGTTAGAGCATCTAAAGCACAGTACACAGCTAACACAGACAAATGAAGTTTTGGGTTTGGCATCGATTTTTCAATGTATTATACGGGATTTCACTATATTATTTATTAAACATCAGCAAACCAATTTAATCACGATTTTAGATAAAGTAAAATAGACACAATATTTGCTGAATTAAAAATAATCTGCACTGTTTTAATTCGTTTAATATTTTCCCGTTTCTGTTACAAAAAATTTATTGTAAACAATGTTTTTCTAAACTATGTAAAGGTAAAGTTAAATACCACGCAAGCATATAGTATTATCCTAAATATTTTAATGTTTCCTAAACTAATTCTACTCTTTAAAAACTTCACATACACGTATTTTTATCAATAATCGTAAGTACTAACGAATAACAGAAAACTGTACATTTTGTATTTTTTGTCAGACGAATTCGTAGAGAAAATTGGGTAATTTTATATTATAACCACTTCGAGAAACTAAAAATTATAAGCATGTAATGAAAACTTTCCAATAATTTGACTTTTTCAACAAACGCGTTGCTAAGTATGAGTGCGCGGGGACTAGTGTTCAAATTGTGAAGAAAAATAACACTTTTTTTGATAAATATAAAATTACCCAATCTCAATTTTTCATAATAAGTAAAAGTTATGTATTAATGAATGGTATATGAGTGCCAGATGAATGTGATTGTATTTTATATTACGTAAATTGTATTACATAAGTGTTTAAACCTATGTACTTATTCGAAATGGCTTCGAGGATTAAAAGATGTTATTTTACAATATATGTAGTTTCCTTTGCATCGGTATACTTATATCTAATGTTTTTATTGACACCGTGAGTCAAGAAAAAACAGCTAGTGTTTTGAAATTTCAATTACAAAGAAACAGGAGGCGCTAGCATAACAGATTTGACTTGGACATTAGGGACACCGTCCATATAGTCCCCTTCGTGATGCTGCAAAGCACCTGACACGTCAGGTCACGTAAAAATAAATGAAATATAAGTTAACTAATTTCTTTCAAATTTTAAATAGTTAATTGTTTTATTTACCTGCTCGTTTATACTACACAATCGTTAGTACGGTGTGTCTTGTTTCATAGTTCAGTGATTAAACACATTGCGTATGATTCGAGCGGTCCTTGATTCAAAGCCGGGAAAACATAAATAGTTAAATACTGTCTATAGTTTACGCGAGTAGTACACATGTAAATAAAACACTTTAACGGTTTAAAACGCGATATATTAGTTAAACTTATTTGGAAATGATTTTTAACTTCGGCCCGACGTTTCGGGTGCTTTGCAGCAACCGTGGTCACTGTTAACCAAGTTTAACTAATATATCGCGTTTTAAACCGTCAAAGTGTTTTATTTAAACAATAAATAGTTTTCGTTAACTAGAGCTTTTTTGTTTACAGAAGCACAGATAAGCATAAGGTTCACTTCATGGAAGGGGAAGTACCCCAGCCACATAACATCTAAACAAGATGTGCTGTCGAACTTTTTTGACGTTGCATATCCTTAAATCCACTGACTGAAACCTTCTGTAAACCTTGGTTCGTAATAAACAAGGGCTTAGATTTATTTAAATAAAACACTTTAACGGTTTAAAACGCGATATATTAGTTAAACTTATTTGAAAATGATTTTTAAGTTCGGCCCGTGTCTCCCCGTGACCACGGCTGCTGCAAAGCATCCGAAACGTCGGGCCGAAGTTAAAAATCATTTTCAAATAAGTTTAGCTAATATATCGCGTTTTAAACCGTTAAAGTATTTTATTTGAATGTGTACTACTCGCGTAAACTATAGATTGTATTTAAGGGCTTAGATTTCATGTCTAAGTTAGACCACACTTATAACCACATTTCTATGGCCAAACCAGTTTCAGTCCCAGGTCTATCAACTGATCTGGAAATAAATTTGTTCCTAGAAGCAAACTCACAAATGCCTCTCGCAAGGGAAACAGATTATAAGTCATGAGACTTTGATCCATTCATTGTGTGCTACCAGGGCACTCTATCTTGAATTCCTTCTCCATTGATGAAGACTCTAACAAGATTTATACTGACATCTCCCCGTTAAAATCAACAATATATCAAACAAACCTCTTTTGGCAAACAACTATCCACTTCTTATGATAGATAAACAGCGTTTCACTTTATAGAACATCGAAATATCCCAACCAAACATTTTAAGCAAGATGTGTTATCGACCTATTTTATTTTCAAACATTATTAAATCATTCATCAGCGATTACATCTGGTTGTCTAACTCTAGACGAATAAAAAACGTGAAGATTTATAATATGCTTAATTATTAACCAATCGTAAATTATT